AGGATGCAACACTTTGTGTTTTGAGGTATCCTAAAGCTACACCAGGCATAGGGATACTCTACTCAAAACATGGCCATTGTCGAGTGGGTGGTTTCACTAGAGAAGGAGATGGTCGAATATCTGCTTTCTTGGATGCAGATTGGGTTGTATGTCCCATTTCTAGGAGATCAAGTACAGGGCACTGTGTATTTGTCGGAAGAAATTTAGTTTCTTGGAAAAGCTAGAAACAACATATTGTCTCCCGATCAAGTGTTGGGCCTGATATAGAGCCATGGTAGATATTCTCATACGAAATGATGTGGGTAAGGAGACTCCTAAGGGCGCATTTGGTTTGCAGAATGTTTTCCGAATGAATGGAATCAGTCAAAGGAATTTGAATTTCTAGGAATTAAAATGGAATTTGGTCGGGCATTTGGTTGGAATGAATTGGAATGAATGTGTTAAATGATTTGGAATCTGATTGTTTGGTTGGTAGAATGTAACTTCAGAATTGGAATGGATAAACGATAAATGACCAAAATATTATTTTTATAATTATGGTGGTCGGCTATAGTTCAGAATGGTGGTTTAGATCGGTGGTGCTCAATGGTGGTTCAGATTGATGGTGGTCAGCGGTGGTTTAGATTGGTGGTGGTTCAGGATTGTGTTGGATGGTGGTGGTTTTGGCGGTTCAGAACGGTGGTGGTCGACGGTGGTTTAGAACAGTGGTGGTCAACAGTGGTTCATATAGAGGTCATATGGGTCTAGGTAAATCAAGTAGGGAAGATGAGGATAATTTTGTATTTTTGAGAAAATGGGAAGGAATGGAATGGAATTCCTTCTTAATTATGATGGAATGACAAAATCGGTGAATGGTGGAATGTATGGAGTTCAATTCCATTCCACCAAACACCTGAATGGAATTTGGCCAACGAAATTGATCATTCAAATTCCTTCACATACCGTCGAAATCCTACGAACCAAACGCCTCTTATGGGAGATGGAGTAATTACAGGTAGCTTGATGAGATTGTATTGTGATAATCAGTTAGGCATTCATATAGCCAAGAATCAAGTACTCCACAAGAGGACCAAACACATTGAAGTTGATTGTTATCTCATTAGAGACCATGTTGTGGGAACACAGACAAACCCTCCATCAATCCAATTGGTACACATCAAGATTCAACACCAGCTTACAGACATTCTCATGAATCCATAGAAAACTCAAGTAGAGTTCATTTGCAACAAATTGGGCATGATTAACATTTTCGCTCCAACATAGGAGTTTTAAATATAGTAAAGTCTAGTTTACCATGTAGTAGTGTTAGTATTTCCTTGTTTACTCTTCTTGATTTTATATATATTTTGTAATCTCATTTAGAAAGAAATAAGAAAATATTACCGCATATAAGCAGTAATTTGATTCATTAGTGAAACTAATTTATTTAGTCAAATATTACAATTCTTGGATACTTTATACATGGTAATGTGATGTGAATTTCTTCTCGCTTGATTCATGAGATATGAATCCCCTAAATGTCATTACCGTTTTGAGTCTTCATTAGTTGTTAGTGTACTAGTCGTGTTAAGTTCAAATCGACCAATATTTGAAAATATAATTTTACATGCGGTTATGGTATAAGTTTTGTCAAATCAACGAACATTCAAATGTTTATTAGTTAACAAAAAAACTTTATTAATTTTGTTTTAAAACTTAAATATTATTTCTTATCAATCAGAAATAAAATAAGACTTACAGACTGCAATACGTTTTAAAAAATAAACAACACTTACTCTCCAAAGACTTAAGAGAATAAGAAGAAAAAAAAAAGTAATCCACACAACAAGAAGCATTTTGCAAGAAACCTACGGGATTTGGAAGGAAAAAAAAATGGTTAATACTTAATACCGTTGGCCACATAAAATTCTATTGTTTGATTTACACCGGAAATGAAATTAAATTTCATATAATCCACTGTTCATTATTCGATCATATATGTGATGGAATTAATTACATCTCTAATTAGGAGTCTAAATTATGCAAGTCGAGTTCGAGTATCATTATATTCGATTCGAACTTGAAACTCAATTTTCAAGCTCAAATCAGACTTAAACTCGAGCTCGAAACAAGCTCAAATCAGACTTAAACTCGAGCTCGAAACAAGCTCGAACTGCAACTGGAATCAAACTTGAACTCGAACTCGAACTCGAATCAAGTTTGAACTAAGCTCCCCAACTGAAATTTATGAAATTTTAGGGTCTTTCTCTTATAAATTTTAAAACTTAAAGAAGTTTTCTTAGTTTTTATAAAACTAAAGGATCAACTTTTAACTTCATCATCAAAAAGATAAAATCAAAAAATTTATTCACCTCCTCTTTTTATAACATCTTTACTTCCTTCTTTTACCATCTATTTTCCAATTGGGGACGATTTCACTAACCCTTTTTGTAGTTCTTTTTGTCTTTTTTCAATTGTGATTTTAATAAAAAAATATAATTGATTAATTTTTGTAACTAAAAAATGCATGATTTTGTTTAAATGTCTATAAATACAAGACATTTTTATTATTTATATTTTACAAATCTTATCATAAAAATTAATTATATTTTAAAACTAATTATATATAAAATAATCGAGTATCTCACAAGTCTTCCGAGTCGAGTATTGGGTAGCTTGACTCGATTCGTCAATATGTAAAGTCGAGCTCGAGTTCAAGCTGAGCCTATTCGAGTCGAGCGTTGACCAAGCTTTAACTGTAACATCAGTTACGCTCTTTAAATAAAAAAAAATATTTATTCAAATAAATATTTCCATAAAACAGTCTCCAAGCAAATACGGGATATATGTTATAAATTTCCACCAAAAATAACATAGTCTGCAAAAGACGATTTTTCAGTACTATAAGTCGGATCCATAAAATACAAATATATATACTCAAAAGTATTATATACCTAGATCCGACTCAAACGATACTCGTACAGCAGATCTAAACCGTCTAATCCTTCACCTGGGCAACTATCGGCTTTCCTGAAAAGAAAGTTCATTCTAAAAGATTAAGCCACAAGGCTTAGTGAGATTATACCAAAGCTTATATTTATATATATTATAAATATAAAGCAAATTATAAACGAAGCAGAACAATAGAGTCGTTTAATTAAAAATTTGATCAAAAGAAAATAATCTGATAAAAATTGTCCAAAACACTGTGCAACCAGAGGGCCGCTGGTCTATACAACCAGAGGGTCAATGGTCTCAATACAACCAGAGGAACGATGGATCAATACAACCAGAGGGTCAATGGTCTCAATGCAACCAGAGGATCGATGGATCCATACAACCAGAGGGTCAATGGTCTCAATACAACCAGATGATCGATGGATCAATACAACCAGAGGGTCGATGGTCTCAAAGGACCCAAAATTCCAAACTTGGCCATTTAATCATAGCATAAAAACTTTGAATTTCCAATCTTAACATACAGCGCTTATAAAGACTTTTTRAGATAAATAAGATCAATTTCAGCCCAAAAGGGTGTTCAACACCAAAGATACCATTTTCAAAATAGAGTTTTTTATGTGCATCATACCCCCCTTCATCTACAGGGTCCGTGCAGATATTCACACCCGGCTCCTTCTCATTCGGGATACGTGAATACAATCAGTATGCCACACCCAACCTCCTTCTCCCTGGGATACGTGGACATACACCATGCTACGACGCATCACACAAAGTAATACCCATAGATCAAGGTTCAACTAAAAACCAATGAAGCAGTCTCGGATCCGGGACTTAAACATAAATTTAGCAGGATTAAGCGGTACCAAAACACAGTTTGGGAGAAATTTATCTTACAAAATAACACATGCCAGAAATTCAACAACTTTTCAACAAAAGTTCATATATTTATATTATACATAAGTATAAGTTTGATATAAACTCACAGTGCTTTCTTATAAACGACCAAACGCGGTAACCTTCAATCCAACCAACAATAGCGATAAACCTTCAAAGGTTCTAATTAACCTTAAAAACAGCCCCTCGAGTAAACATTTCAGAATAAAAACCAACCATATCTCAACCTTAAATTATACATTTTAAATCTTGATTATCCTATTTACACTTCTTGTAAAATCCTCTGTTAAACCCCTGTTTTTACCATACTTAAACCCAGATTTAGCCATAAAACTCACTGCATGTTACTTACCTACCCAAAATAGCTTCYGATTCACACAATAATCAACATTATCCTTTATAATCTTTCAAAAACAGAATCTAGCCTCTAATTTATACACTTCTACTTGAAATAAACTTGAAATTAGAAGCATACCTTTAATGATTAACACTTAATCTTCAAGAATCTAACATGGATCTTCACGGTTTGAAGGATTAACCTTAAATGTGTGTAAATCGCACCTTAAGTGTGGGTGCGAGTTCTGGACTTAGATGATGTGAAAAATGGGTCAAAACTCATATTTTATAATGCTAAACTTGAGTTGGGCCGGCTTGGCCCTCTAAGTGTCCAAATAGACCAACAAACTCCCACTAAATCATAAACCCACTATAACCCAATAAATTATTCTAAGCAATTAATTGGGTATATTGAAACTTGGATGTTACATTAACCGAATCGATCTCGAATAGCTCACGAGTTGTCTCGTATCATTTACACCTCTATCTTTAACCATTTCTCGAAACTACCAGCATCAAGTCTACAACACAATCATTCCTTACCAATTAATATTATCATGAACTTTATCATTATCTCGTATTTATAATGTAAGAAAAAGAAATGAAAAATCTAATAAAATGGGTAAATTAGTCATTTGATATTATTTCATTCCAATTTTTAAACCGAATACCACCAACCAAACATGCATATCACAGAAAGATTCCATTTCAGTTTTTGCCAACCAAAACATGTACTCAAAACTTTATTGAATTTCATTTTTGCAAACCAACCCCCTCCCCTCCTGAGAGTTTATGAAAATTGCAATCAAAGCAATTGGTTTTCCAATTAATAATATAAAGGTTCATAGAATTACAAAACCCAATAAAAGAATGGGTGGCTAGAAAAGGACAGTGAACCAAACAATTTCACAATCAAGCAGCAATACTAGAATTCTCAAGACTACAACAACACATTACATATATATAATTACAATTACAATTCCTTCCTATATAAATTTGTTAAGTTTCCTCGGCGGTGGCCGCGGCTGCTGCTGCTGCTGCTGCTGCTCTATCATCAGGGCCACCAAGCATGATCTGAAAATGTAACCATTTAGAACTTCAGGAATCTTTGCTTTTCTAAGAACAAAATCAAACGAGCCCAATGTATCCCACACGAAAGTGGGGTGAGATGTACGCAGTTCTGTCCTCTATTCTAGAGAGTAGAGCAATTGTTTTCACGAAGACCCCTGACTTGCAAGAATATGTGCAAAAAAGAAAGCTTGTACAAAAAGTCTATTAACAGACATATATATATATATATATATATATATATATATATATATAAACGAAGGATCGTGTGAGAATAGGAGTTAAGATGAGAAGCATAAGAAGGGATCTAGACCCTTGATCACTTTTAATCTCACCCCCACACCATGAATTGCGCTTGATACGTGAATTGATCCGGTGCATCTTATTACCATTGATCTTCAATTAGGATTGATCCGAAGGCGGACATCCTTTCTTGCCCTTCTCATTATAACTCTATTCTCACCACATATATGTGTGTGTGTGTTGGTTGGATGTTTCAGGTGTTCTCGCATTCTCGTTTGAACCGTTCCTGATATATATATACATAGAGAGACAGAGAGAGAGAGAGAGAGAGATGAAGCTTACATTGCAATCGAAGGCAAATCTTCGTGCGAGCATAATAGCAGCATTTCTTTCTCTTTCCGACTCAAATGCCAGCACAAAGGAGAGTCCTATCTTTGGTTGCCAGAATGATGCCTGCGCTGCAGCATTTCCACCACCTCTAACTCCGCACAGCTTGTTTCAAGAGAAAATTGAAGGCGATTCTTTAAGATATAATCATCGAGTCATCTTTCGTTAATGCACCAGAAAGAATAATATACAAAGAATCCAGCAGCAATCTTTTGCTCTATTCTTGATCTGTTCATTTTTCTTCTATTTCATGATTTTTCTTAATGGTGGAGACTGGAGATAAGCACTCTCCCTCTCATCACAGAAATCAATATTTTTCTTCTGAACTTTAAACATGTTATTATATATTCGAAACGTAAAAAAGAAAATCATCTCAATTTCGAATTGAAGTATTCCCACCATTCCAAAGCATATTTTTCATCCTTAGGAAGTGGAATAACCAAAAAATAAATATTCCCTCCATCCCAAAGAAAATGCAACCTTTTTATTTTCCTGTTAGTAAGAATTTAGCCGAAACTTATACGTCTCATTACAAGGTATCTTTAAGTATTTGATTATTAGCTAAAGAACTCCACTAAACAGTGAAATCAACTTTGCATTTTCTTTGGCAAAGTTTACCATGTTGACCATTAGAAATCATTACAAAAATCGATATTATTGATTTCTAGTACGCACAATTCCTCTGAAGTCAAAACATTTGTACCAAACTATGTTTTTGCACAGAGGGGAGTACTGGCTTTGATGATAACAAAAAAATGGACGTTTGCTGTCAAATATAGGAAGTAACAGTAGTGTACTTCCTTCTGTGCAACGAACATCCAGTTTGTGAATTTCTCATTTGTTAGTGTACTCCCTTCTGTTCAACGAGCGTCCATTTTGTGACTTTCTCATTTGTTGTTTTCAAACAGGAATTAAACTTCAGGTTCAGCTAACCTGCATAAAAGGCGAGTAGTATTCTTTGGCCACGGTTGTTGTTTCCTTGCAAAGTTTCATCCTCATCTTTCCCACATGAAGTACATGAATAGACTCTGATGGATGGTCTGCCCCATTCATTTGGACAATAACTACCTGCATACAGAAACAATATATATGAATAAAAAACAAAAGACCAAAAATTTGAGAAATTAAATTCACATCATTTTCATATACACTCAACCAATCCACATGCTTCATTTATAATGTCACATAATCAATTGAAAAGTGTTGTTTGATGCTCACGGAAAGGCTTAAAACCCTGAGTCAAAGATATGGAAATTGATTTACTCAATTCTGGGGAAAGAAGAAAACAGAGAGAGAAAGAGACTTATTATGGATCTTATTACATCAAGCCTTGTATAAAACAAGACATTGTATAGATCATATTACAAATGTAACACAAACTTTGATGTAGTTCACAACAAGGAGATAAGTGCATACAAGTAGTCACTGCACAAAAATTGGGCAGCAAGAGCCCAAAGTGCATGTCTTAAAACAGCAGACGATTTGGATAATTAAAAAAAAAAGAACTTTGTGCAATCCTGCAGATAGTTTATGATGTCTATCACCTATTTCTCTAGAAGATTCTTGGAAGTCATGTAATTTTTTAAAGTTGAAATGCAACCTATTAAATTTCAAAACTCAGTATATATTTTACTCGAAGGGGGATGACACAACATAAAGTGAAACTCTAAAACATGCAATTGTACCAAAATGGCCACATAAAACCAAACCAGCACCCGAAGGTAGAGTCTTTTTTTAGGGGGGGGGGGGGGGATTGATGCAGCCCTTACTTCTAGCAAAAATCAGAGAGGCTATTTCCTAGAAGACCCCCGGCTTGCTTAACAGAATAATAAATAACAAAAAATGGCCACTTAAACCATTCACAATATGACAGAAACATTTACTACGTCAATATCTTTTGACTTCTAATCAAATTAAGTAACTTGTCAACATCAATATTGCAGCGGATTTTGAATTGTGTCAAAAAATTGATAGCCACATTAAACGCAACAACAGAAAATACAAATTGGAACATGTAGGTGATAAATGAGAAGAAAAAATCCATACGAATTTTGGAATACTTGTTTAAAAGAATTATAAATCTACATGCATCTCTTCATTGAAAAAGAAAGGGAATAAAACGTATATATACAGAAATTTAGAAAAAGGTTGCTAACATACGTTAAACTCAGTGTCATGCCGTCGCACCAATGCTTCCACATAGTTTCCTAGTCCTGCGGCTGTTAACATAATTGTATCAGTTGGTTTGTCAATAGTGGAGTTCGACATAAAACATTATTGGGGGAAATGCATGCCTATGCACAACGCAAAATGAGGTGCAGATTTGAGTTTCAAATCATGAGTGATAAAAGAACGTCCTCAAATGATTGGATTACTTGTTTGTCACCAGAAGGTCACGTACTCTAAGTAACGAAAACAGCCTCTTAGCAATAATGCAAGGAAAGATACCTCCCATCCCAACAACAACAACGATAATAACAAGAATCAACAGTGAAGGTTGTAAACTATCCACAGCCCTGCATAAAACTTGGAAAGTTGTAGGATGAACCACTTTGGCGGTCCCAACATGATTTTGTGCTTTAATACATGCATTCTAGGTGTTTGCTGCACAAATTATAAACTGCAACCGGTTATATGTTTTTTCTTGTAAGCAATGCCAACAGTAACTGTAACAATAAGGGAATGATGGTCTGTTGCTTAAAATATTTGTTTGAGGGGCAAGAACATTCAAAGATTTGTAAATTTGAGCACTGCTTAGGCATTGGTTGTTGATAGATTCTTTTTACTAATAATGCTTATAATTAAAGATGAAAGATGATATGTATCATGTGCAAGAACATTCAAAAAAAATGCATATTTGGCAACTGTTGCTGACAACTTTTTTCATGACCAACCTGGATCCATAGGACCAGATGTTGTCAAACTAATACTCAGGACGTCTGAAATGATATCAGCTTGAAGTATGCGGCCAACATCAGACGGTTCAGGAGCATAAATAGGTTTGGTGGCACCTAACAAGTAAGAGCGCCCGTTAGTAAGAGCATGTAATTATCTATCATTGCAGCACATAATATCGAAGTCATGAACATTAGCTCAAAACCTAATGTCCCATTGTTACCAGCAAATATAATAAAATAGCAACTAATCAACAGTTTCATTCATGGCCATTAAAAAACCATATAATTGGGTTAGAACTATCAATTATAAGGTAAACAATATTGTACATGCATGCAACACCAAATTTACCTTTTCTACAAACAAATTACATTCTTTAACCCTAAAATAGACTTTGGAGGGAGCAAATATGAAATCAGAAACAAAAATCATATGTATGGGGGAGCAAAAGCAAGTGATGGTGGAAGGAAGCAAAATTGACATAGGAAGAGGCAGAATCAGAAAGAGGAAACAAACTTGTGCCTAATGTGAACAACTGATGACATCACCATGCTTTGTGCCATGCACCTCTTGACCAAGGCATGCGCCTCAACAAGCATTGGTGCCATAGCTACCCGTCGATCAGCCTCTCGTATAGACGCGCCTTTAAAAACAATTGGTAACCAAATTGGAAAATTTTGGATGCAGTATCACTCAAAATGCCACATGGGCATTTCCCGTCAATTGCTTACAGGAAGTTACTTCAGTTTTGACATTGTTGGTTTTTCCAAACCATGGTGACTCAAAAACTGAACCCACAATGATGGATCTTGTTAAAATTGTGAAACCAAGATGAGCAAAATATGGTCTTTGCCAAGTTATAATCTAAAATCAACATCCAAAAAGGCGGCAAAAACAACTTGTGCTAGAACATGAGCAATGCCAACATGCATGCATGTAAGCTATACTCTTTATCAGCAAGTCACCCGATTTCCCAAAAAAATTATTTTGGAGAGGCAATAAATATGTTGAAGGCACATATACTGCCAAAACCTCAAACTAAAATATTTATTTATTTGGTTAAAAAGAATTCTTTAAACATCTGACATGAAATAGATATTGGAGTATGGAAATGGTGTAAGAGGCCAACTGAAGAACATTTCCTCCAACACACCGACAATTTTCCATGTTATCTCTACATAAGGTGATGCTAGTGGAGTTGTGAACATGGACCGATACTCCTGAAACCAAAAGCCATCCTAATGTTCCATGACTATAACTAGGACATTATCTGTGAATGAATGAAAAGAACAAAGCGGAGTCTAATATATATATATATATATATATATATCTTCAAACATCATATGACTCCCTCGGTTCCAAAAAAAAAAAGAACAGGAATATTGCTCTTTTCTTGTGCCTAATCTCTATAGGGGGTTGGTTCAAGGGTACAGCCTTTGTAAGTTCATGGTATACCCAAAGATTGGCTAGTTCCTATTTGGAAGGCTGCAATTTTTTGTTTGCCGCTTCAGTTAGTGTCTAGGTGCTTTCCAAATAAAAATCTGATATGAACTAGAAAATAAAACTATGTGAGACGGTAAGTGAAAGTCCCTCTTTCTTTTAAGCCGTATGGAGTAATACCTCAAGTGAAACAAGGTACAACAGTTCAACATGTTATAATATCAAGTTAAATGTAGGCACAAAGTCAGATATCCATTGAAATCGGCATATTAACAGTCAATGAAAATTACATTTTTATCCCCGCCGTAGTTAGATTAAAGGGATTGAAAATCAACTACAGCCCAATACCTGAAATAAGCTCCTTTTTTCCACCTTCAGATGTCAAACGATACCACTGGATCGAACATTCTAGAAGTTCTGGGGCTTTATCAGAACATGGCTGGATCTGCAAATACGAACCTAAAGCCTCTGTACCATCAAATTCAAAGCAGGGAGTATTTTTCTCTCCGCGCCTGCTCATTGCCAACTGAAATAGGAAAGAACACAAATAATCAAAATCAATACCGAAACCTAACCACATTTCCTGTAAACCACCATCTATAACAATTTAAGTCTAATTATTATGCACCGGTAAAACAGTTCTTGGATAACATAACCAAAAAGGGTATAAACAGCATACAAGTGGGAAAAAGGCGATGAAACAAAAACCTTAAGCTAGTGTTCCTCAAATAAGAGCATATATGTAAGACCAATTTGTTTTCTTCTAAGGGATTGGTCTACCTGAACTCCAAAACTCTCCTAAACTAACTCAATAGGAGGTTCATGCTAAGTGTCAACCATCTTATCATATGGCTGAACTATGTTGAACAGGAAACCTATGAGGTTTTTGTTGGGAGTAGCGCCTGTCACAAACAAATTGAGAGAGAAAAGACTGGAATAGTTTAGGCACGCTCATAGGTGGCTGACATCGGCACCAGCGATGAGGGCCGATAATGTATGGTTGAGGGGGTTAGGAGGAGGGGCAGGCCAAGGAGGACGTCGAATGAGCAGTTGAGACTGGACATGGTGTCTTTAGATGTTTCGGAAGGCATGACCTAATATAGGAGCAAAGTTGTCACAGGCTCAACGCGTACTTAGGCACAAAGGGGTTCTGAAGCCTTGGCACAAGGCGCATCTTATCAAAAGAAAAAAAACACACAAACATACCGTTACACACAACTCAAATAGGGTTTAGCAGCAGGTACAAGCCTCCAATGCAACAACCAGCAGTACTTCGATAGAGGCAGAAGGGACAAGGTTTTAAGGTATTTAATATGAGGGTTTGACTTATGCCATCTATTTAGTAACTCTGTTTTTTTAAGAAGTCTAAGAGATGAGAAGATGAAAAAACTTATTTAATATTAGGGTTTGACTGGGTATTTAATAACTCTTTATGAGGAGTGCCTAGGCCGAAAAGCGCCTCAGCCAAGGCGCAACGCCTTAGTGAGCCTCGTTAATACGCCTCTACCTTATAAAAGCCCAAGACCTTGAGCCTTATGAGCTTCAAGCACGCTTTTAACAACTATGTATAGGAGTTAGTGGAGACATGGAACTAGGGTAGCAGATTTTGTTTAAGGATCTGTGGTTACCTCGTTCGGTGTAGGGGGAGGGATTGGAGTGGTAAAAACTTGTGTTAGGTCTATGAATTGTTTCGTACAACTCCTCCTGCTTTTAATTTCCTTACTTGCTTTATCTATTTTCATATTATTTATCGTACGTACTTACCCTGACTGTCTACTTGCTCTTCATCAACTCTTCAAAACTTTATGTCTTGTTTTTTTGGACAGACATTCTTGGTTGTGTACAAATCCAATTTTTTAGCAAAAAACGATTCCTTTTGCACCACGAGGATCTTCATGGAAATAGTCTATCTACTCCTTCAGGTAGAGGAAAAGCATGCATGTATTTTACCCAAGGTTTTAGATGACGTGAAGCGTGGCGTGACGGCGAGGTAAAGCCTCAATCCTTACCGGCTACGGCAAGGACATGGTGTGCTCTAAGGCGGCATTTATATACATATTATATTATATATATATATGTGTGTGTATATATATATATATACTTGTGTGCTTTAGTGTTTTGAATAATCTCGTAGAACAATTTAAATTCACATAAATGAAAACAATTAAAAGGAAAAAAGAACCATTTATCTCAAATATATCGAACTTATAAGAAAATGATATCAAGAGTGAAAATCGCGATTAAATCTCGAGTCTCTACTCACTATTTTCTTCAATCTTCAAGGAATTCCTGTACGACTCTCCATGCACGGGAATGAGAGAAGATTTACCTATTTAGGGTGTTTAGTTTTTATGTTTCCTTTTAATGTTTATTTAAGTCTTAGGTGTCATACATAATGATCATACCCCAAGTTTTATGTTTAAAAGAAGTAAAAAATAATGTGTTGTAACACGCCATAACGCGTTATAGAGGAAGCCAAGCCTCATAGTGGAGCTACAACGGTTAATATGGCGGCAAAGCGAAGCCTCGACGCCATAATGAGGCCTAGCAAGTTATTTAGAACCATGACTTTACCCTCCTTGGGTTCGTTCAGTTTGGCAACTTGTGATCCTTTGAGATGTGTATCTATACTCACTGTCTCGACATATCTCCATCAAACCACATGTACTTCGGTACTCCAAACTCTATATGAAGCGCCGTATCTACATCACCTCACATGTTTTATTAATAACGCATTACTCAAACTCAAACTTGGAATTACTTCATTTTTCCAAATTACCTCCAAGTAAAGCACACATACATCGTTGTTGATCCCCTACTATATGGACACCTTGCAAGACTTGCACCTAAACAACATGCAATCCAAGTTTGCCCCCTAATTTTTAAACAAAAGACCCGATCCAGAAGCAGGTTAAGAAACATCAAGATTTGCAACATCACATACTACTACAACGGCAAGATATGAACTCATTCGCCTTATGACAGAAACTCCAATTTCATATCTAGTGAATGTGAGAGTTTAGCTTCCCGGTTGTAATTGTACTTCCGTAAACCATCAAGAAGCTTACCATCCTCATAAAGTTTGACATTCAGAATAAAGCCCAACAAGCAAACCAATCCCAATCAAGTTTTCATGGACATAACTAGTGTTGTTGTAGACGTAGGTGCCTAAATACACAAGAAGTACTTGAAACTCTTGAAGTTCCTTGCCAGTAATTTTCTGAATATTAGTTTTTAAAGTATAAACTACTCTAAAGTATTCCAAGTAATGCAATATCATCAACATGAAAACAAAACAATCTGCATGCCATTGCACAAGTTGAAAAAATGGTTAGTCAAAAATTTATGCACACCCGAAATTTGTTTAAAGAAACCAAGTAATTGAGAAGCAATCCTAGGCAACATAATTAAGGCCATATAGAGAATTAAATTGACACTTGACAGTCTCCTGAAGCACCTCTTTTGAACCACAAAATGAAACCCACATACACTTCCCTCAAGAACAACATTAAGAAATGTGTTCTCAAGTTGATGCAAAGGGAGAAGAAATGGCTAATCACAATGACCATTAACATCATTTTAAGACAAAATTAGACCCATTAAAATTGCATGTACCCAGAAGTTACACGTACCGGGTATAATTGTAGTACCCAAAATCACAAGTATTTTGCACCCAACCAATTATACCCATGGAATGAGGCAGCTTATCTATGGGTATAGGCCATACATTTTAATCTAGTTATAAAAATTCAACAAATTATTATACTTGTAAGTGTAGTTATAGTGAAATTTTTAGCTTCATGTGCATAACTAAAAGGATAAATGATCATGGTACCGGTGATAAGGTTGAATTATTCACCATTTTAATTTGTTACGTTTGTCTCTGTTCAAGGTTTTCCTTTTTGCTTTTTAACTTTTTATACCATGTAAATAATGGTTTTCAAGAATCATAAGAATTTTTCGAAATGAAAATGAAAAGACAATAATGGACGCCAACATGCTTAACAATTGAAACTCGAATGCACACCTTAAATGCATAAATTAAGAAAAATCTATTAAAGTTAAAATAGATTTAAAAAATATGAATATAGAAAAGGTAATATTATTTAGTAAATTTATAGAGGGTAACTGTGGTGAAAGAAACAAAACGAAAGAAAGAGCATATAACCATTGTTAACAAACAATAATACTAAGGTCATAACCAAATTCTACAGAAGGTTAAGTTATTCTAGCTAAGACCAGGCAAATAATTGTTATGTTATATCGGTGTTTTGAAAGACAATTTCAAAATGCCACATATCAAGAAACAAAAAACCCTCATCCGAAACTAGATAGGGAGGCCACATCGAAGTTCATCTGAACCTAGTTTTACCAGCACTCTTTGAGTTATAATTTTCCCTCTCGTCACTATTGCATCCAAACATCAATTTTGAAGATGGAAGGGACATTTCAAGAATAATAACTCATTTCCTCCCAAACAAGTAATGATCTATACTTATGTATGGATTCTTCATTCGTTAAATATTTTCCATTTTGTCCCTAGGACATGGGTAATAGCATATCTTAATTATCACTTTCATCACAACAAAAAATGTATCATTTATGGAATTGACACTAACAACATGTGTAGAGTGTGATCACACACAGAAAACTGTGTGGAAGCACAAAGCAAATGGCACACAACACATGCCTAGCAGACACCACCGATTATATATGTTGCATGTTGTCCCTCCACTTCCACACACTTGTTTGATCAAACAGATCCCCTCTTCTGTATTTCCACATAATGTTCCTATAACCATCGAGTGCTTATTCCTAATCCTAGCTATGCCTTATGTGAATACCAATATGTGACACATGCATCTTGCTTCTAACAAATAATTTAAGAATCATTGAAAGAGAAGGTAGATTGATCAAGAGCACTGAAGTAACAATTAACCTCTTTCTGGAGCTTAATTGAACACTTTGACTTCTCTGCTAGCTGAGTGCGTAATACTTGAAGCTCATGTTCCATATCCATAACCTGTAGAGATAAGATTTAGTTTAATGCTGCTGATTAAATGAAGTAAGAACATAGTAAGTACGTATGAATATAATATCTATCTTCTGACTTTCTTATATAGATATGGTTTCTAATGCTTGAGCTCTCAAACTAATATAAGTATAACTATATAAGAAGCTAAATAAAATGAAAAGGTTGAAATGAGTAAAACGAGAAGTATACCACCAACAATTGACATTTGATAGCCCCAGGTACTGTGCAAGTATTTGTAATTATTTTAATAACACTGGATTAGACAGTTTAAAACAGATCCATGTAACCAAACCCAACTGTAAAAAAAAGGACTGGGATCCATTGAAGTTTCATGCTAGCTCATTCAATGTCTGAAATATTAAATGTTGAAAGCAATGGTCATTTTGACATGAATACATTCGCGTTAAGAATCTAAAGCATATGCCACTTCAATAAAGAGTCATCACCAGACACAATGCACATGAATAGCTAGCAAGAAAACAAAAGACATGCCAATGACATGGTATATGAACAAAGAGGCTGAGTAAAGAGAATTCTTTGTTATCTTTTCAAAACAGGGAATACAAACAATTTATAGACCAGAAGCAAACAAAAAAGAGAGAGAAAATTAAGGAAATCAATTAGTGATGTCCTGAGTACAACAGAATATCCACACCATAACTTCCTAATATACTTTCCAACATTCCTCCTAAAGCTGTGGAATAAATATCAATCATTCCCAGCTTGCCAACTAAGGCTTCAAATTCTGGTTTGGAGAGAGCCTTGGCAAGAATATCTGTTTCTTGCTGTTTTGATGGAACATGGGAAATCAGAATCATCCCAGAATCAATTTCAGCGTTTATAAAACTCCTATTGATTCGCACATGCTTCATTCGGTCGTGCTGGACAGGGTTGTGAACTGTACTTATTGCTGATTTGTTGTCACTATATAGCTTCGTAGGACCTTTAGGTCTCTCAAAAGATTCATTATCCAGATTAGTTCACAGACCCCTTGAGTAATTGCTCAGTAGTCGGTACTCTGTCTCAGCAGTGCTTCTTGCCACTACTGATTGCTTTTTGCTTCGCCAAGTAACTAGATTTCCCCATACTTTTGTGCAATAACATGTTGTAGACTTATTGTCTTCTGATCCACCCCAGTTAGCATCCACAAATCCCTTAACATCTTGTTCCTTTCCTTCCTTAAACAGAATTCCATTGCCTGGAGTTCCTTTAAGGTACTTCAAAATTCTGTTGCTGCTTCCAAATGTTTTTTAGTGGGGCAATGCATAAACTGACTTGTTACGCACACATTATGGGTAATATCGGGCCTTGTGAGTGTGAGATATATTATCTTTCCTACCAATCACTGGTATCTGTCTCAGTCTCCAAGAGTGTCATCATTAATAACCTTTTCCTTCCGGTTTCTTTCAATGGTGTAGCAGCAGGTGTGCAACCAGTTTTTCCAGTTTCCCGTAGCAAATCAAGGGCATATTTTCTGAGTAACAAATATTCCTTGTTTGCTCCCGGCAACCTCCATTCCAAGTAAGTACTTCAATTCTCACAGGTCTTTAACTTGAAATTGGATCTTTAATTGAGCTTTTAACTTATTGATCTCTTCTTGGTGATCATCAGTTATTACCATATCATCCTCTTACACAATGAGGATAGCCCTTTTTCCACTTTCTCCTTCCTTGATTAACAGTAACTGATCTGATTGTCCTTGTTTATACCCAAGAGACTTCATTACTGAACTGGTACACCAAGCACGTGGTGCAAGTTTTAGTCCATAGATGAACTTTTTGAGTCTACACACCTTGGTATTTTCATCATGAAACCTGGAGGCATCTTCATGAATACTTCCTCTTCCAATTCTCCATTTAAGAAGGCATTTTTTATGTCTAGTTGATGGAGTTCCCAATCAAGGTTTGCAGCAAGAGAGAGTAATATCTTCATTGAGTTCATCTTAGCTACGGGAGGAAATATCTCCTCATAATCAATACCCTGTGTTTGGGTGTATCCTTGAGCCACTAATCTTGCCTTGTATCTCTACTTCTCCATTCAGTTTGAACTTCACAGTGAATATCCATCTGCATCCAACCACCTTTTTTCCTTGTGGACGATCAACTATTTCCCAAGTATTATTCTTTAAGATCATCCATTTCTTGAACAGTTGCCTTCCATTTTGGATCAAGAAGTGCACTATGAACATTCTTTGGGATGTCTATACTGTCAACTTTTGCAGCAAAAGCCTATACTCATGAGACAATTTTGCATAGGTTAAGTGAGTAGACAAAGGGTATTGAGTGCACTTTCTTACTCCTTTTCCAATGGTGATTGAAAGATCTGGATTATTCCCGGCTCCGCACCTTCGTTTGTGGAATCTAGACTTACGTCCGGTTCCGATGATCGAGCAGTTTGCGGAGCAGTTGGCTTTCTTGAATAAACCTTAAGTGGTTCATTGGTGATAGGTTCTCCCCCTTGATGTACTCATTGATCATGTCTCATGGAGAGGATGGAGTAGGTGAAGATGGAGTAGGTGTAGGTAAGGGGGAAGTATGTGTAGGTTGAGGTGAAGGAGGTGAAGGTGGTTGTTTTGACCGGTAAGATGGGGCAAGAGATATAGGTAGAGATATTGTTGGATCCCAATGTGCTTCTTCATCCTGAAGAGAACCATTGGGATAGTAAGATTGATCTTTATTAGACTGAATGTACATAAGTGCAATTAGTATAATGCAGAGGGAACTCCTATGTAATCAGTATCTCTATATATAAAGGCTGATTGTAATTAGGTTATATATCAAATCAATACAAAAAACCCTTGTGGTTTATCATATTAGAGCCAAGTTACCAAAACCCTACCTTCCCTCTTGGTCATGCCGCTTCAAGGCTAATTGTCCGCTGCCGCCGCCTATGTTAATCTGACCGTCTGCTGCTGCCGCCGCCGCCGGAATCTGATTTCCGCTGCTGTCCCCTGTCCGCTGCTAGAACCCTAATTTTCAGTCTTCTTTTCTTTTACAGTACATTACTATCATGGCTCTAATAGCCTCTTTCACAACAGCAAAGAAACAATCTCACAATTCACACAAGTTTGCTTTTACCCTAACTCCTACAAACTATGGTTACTGGAAAACAATGATTCAACCCTTTCTTGTCACAAATAACCTATTCAGATATAGTGTCCATCCAAACATCTACCATCAACCACAACCACCTCTGATCCAAAGGCTAACACCGATCCACAAGATAACCCTAATTACCCGATTTGGATTTCTAATGATGCTCATGTTCGCATGCTGATTATCTCCACCATCTCTGAAGCCTCTTTTCAACATGTTCATGGTGAAACTTCCCGTGATCTATGGCTTGCCCTAGAACGAGCCTATGCCCCTCACACATCATCCAGGGAATATACACTGGAAACTCGACTTCTCAAGATTCAGATGGAAGGTGATGAAACTCCAAAGGCTTATCTCAATCGTGCACAGGAGTATGCAAATGCTCTAGCTACCATTGGCGAACCTATCAAAGATGAAGACCTCGTTATGCTTGTTGTTTCTGGTCTCCGTGAAGAATACAATGGTCTTAAATCTACCATCACCACAAGTCAATTCCCAACTGCCTTCAATGAACTTCATGCCCTTCTCAATGACCATGACTACATGCTTGGGAAAACTCGTGCCTCTAGTCCATATGTTTCTTAGGTTTTTGCAGCAATTCTGGTTTGTCACAGCCTTCTGGTTTGTCACAGCTTTCGGTCTATCATCATCAACAACTTGCTGCTCAGATCAGTTCCATTGCATCTACCTTTGGTTATCAATTGAAGCCTGCTGCAACTTCAGGCCCTCAAGCTTTCTATGGTTCTCGTCAGCCCCACAACAACGGTGGTAATTGTCGTCGTAGAACTTCTCGTGGTAGCAGCCGTGGACGTGGCGACGGTCAGCAATTTAGTTGGGCAACCAATCAAAACACAGTATACGGAACTTGTAACCGCTGTGATATTGGGGACCTCCCATCATAGTCCTAATCGTGATCCATCCACCGTTCGTCCTAGGCAGACTGCTAACTTTGCCAACAGCCGTGCCTCCTCATCTGCTGAATCAACTTCATGGTTTCGTAACACAGGAGCGAACAGTCATGTTACGCCTAATTTAGCAAGCATGGATAACTATGAAGCTTATCATGGTAGTGACGCTCTCTATGTTGGTAATGGTAAGGGACTCCCTATACTTCATATTGGCTCCTCAACCATTTACTCACCACACAAAACCTTTTGTCTATCTAATATTCTTCACGTTCAAGAAATCACCAAAACTTCTTTCTGTCCAGATATTTTGTTTAGATAACAATATTTTCTTTGAATTTTACTCAACTTTTTTTGTCATGAAGGACAAGTCTACATGCACTACCCTGCTTACGGGCATAGTGAGAATGGTCTTTACTCTGTTTGTCTACCCCAGCTCAAGTCTATCAATAAAATCACTTTTGCTGTTGATCGTACATCCTCTACCATTTGGCATAGGCGGCTCGGTCATCCACATCAGCGTCTTTTTCATTTTATGCTTTCTAGATTTTCTATTCCTGCTACAAGCAAGACATTACCTTTTTGTACGTCCTGTCAAATGGGCAAATCATCATAACATTTATTACCTGTTTCTTCCTTTCGAAGTAATAAAATTTTAAATTTGGATTATTGTGATGTATGGGTCCTGCACCTGTTCTATCTTTTGAAGGTCATCGTCACTTTATGCTATGTGTTGATCATCATTCTCATTATATGTGGATCTATCCATTGGCTCAAAAATCAGATGTCTACAACATCTTCAAAGGTTTTCTTACCATGGCCAAAAGACAATTTACTACAAAGGTCAAAAACGTTCAAACTGACTGGGGTGGTGAATTTCGAAATCTATCTCCCTTCTTCACATCCTTTGGCATTGTTCAACGCCGTTCATGTCCTCACCCTAGTGAACAAAACGGCTGCGTGGAACGACGCAATCGACGTGTCATTGAAACTGGTCTCACTCTGCTTGCTCAATCCAGTGTTCCTCAACGTTTTCGGCATTACACCTTCGATACCGCTATATACCTAATCAATCGTTGCGTTCGCGAACCTCAACAAAAAAATCACCGTTCAAACATCTCTTCAAACGATCTCCCAATTACTCATTTCTTCGGGTCTTCGGTTGTCAATGTTTTCCTCACCTTCGACCATACAACCATCACAAAATTGACTTTCGGTTGACCCCTTGCGTCTTTCTTGGCTATAGTCCTTTCCATCATGGCTATCGTTGTCTTGACCTATCGACCGAGTGTTTATACATTGTTCTTCATGTTTGCTTCAATGAAGACCACTTCCCCTTTGCTATTCCTATTGTCCCCACTTCTTCACCTACATCATCAAGTCCCTACACCACAAGTCCATTTACGGCCTCAAGCAGGCCCACGGCTTGGTTTCACCGCCTTTCCAAGGCTCTTCATAACCTTGGCTTTGTAGGCTCCAAGACTGATCCTTCACTGTTTATTTCCAGTCATGCTGGCATTCTTTTATACATCGTAGGTATGTTGACAACATCATCATCACGGGAAACAATAATGCTGCTATCGACGCCATCGTTCAACTGTCCCTCTCCCTCTCCCTCTCCTCCTCTCTCTCTCTCTCTCAACTTTCATTGAACCCTCTCGCTTGCTAGCTCTTACATTTCGAAGGGTTTTCGATAGATAGCTCGATTGGTTCTCAATTGGTTCTCAACAGATTTCATTAACATCCAACAAGGTTTGAAGTGGCTCGTTACGACCTAGGGCTTGACAAATATAGTGGAAGGGGGATGGAGGAGAAGATTTAAAAGCAACGAGGTTCAACGGGCTTCAATGCGAAGGACGACTCAACGAACTTGATGAGGTTCGACGGGTTTCATCATCTTGACAAAGGCAGTGAAAGGGGGCTGGCAGAGGGCGCGACAGCTTGACGGATTTCGACTCACTCGATGAGGTTTTCGACGGGATCAACCTGCTCGATGTGCTCGATGGATTTCTCAGGCCCACAGCCACCGTCCTCCAACTAAATAGAAGACGATATTCACGAATTGTCATTTAATACTTATTCTTCTTCCCAAACCTAAAGGTGTTGAAAGCTTCAAAAATTCCTACCATCCATCAAAAACCAAGAAAAAAGATTCGGTAATCCTGCATAGCTATTAGCTATCCTGAGTTTTTTATTCAAAATTCCTTCATTTTAGTATGTTTTGACATTCTATTGGTGCCATTTGTAGTTTCTGAAATATTCATTCAAAAAATTGGATTAACTCTTACTCTTGTTCTTGTTTCAAGATCAAATATAGAGGGATTTTATAGTGGATTTTCCATTGAAGAGAGAGACGAAGAGAAATGAAAGGGAATCGAGAAGGTTAATTTTTACATTTAGAGAGTAGTTTGAGAAACATGCAAGTTTAAAGCATATTTGTTAGAGGATGGCAACATTAAGCAGATTTCTGACTTCAGCAACATTAAGCAGATTTCTGACTTCAACAACATTAAGCATAGGAACTCAAGTTTTCCTTGCATAATAGATTAACTGCAATTAGCATCAAGCATTTAGTTTGCTGGGCAGCACCGCAAGGCCGGTGCAGTACCTTACTAGGCTGGTGTAGCATCTTGATCCGTCTCGCCTGTTGAACCTCCTTCATTAGTTCTTCCACATCCTAAATATGTAGAATACATTCAGTCAACATAAAACTACATAACAATGAATTGCATTACATCATCAATTTTCAATTTTGAAACAGGTTAGGTAACTAGTGAAAATGATGAGAATATAGGAATAAAATGCATACTTCAGAAGCAAATAAATATGATGCTATTCATAAAGCACAAACAAGGGATAAAAACAATAGGTGGTATGCTAATAATCCATGTTTCTATTACTAATGATTTTGAACCGCGCACTTGATTCACGTTTGCCAAGTTCTAAAATGAGTGAATGACGATTTGAATCACAGTACATGGCCTTAGGTTGTCAAACAACCATCATACTTTCCAAAATGCAACAAAAAATGTTGCATTTAGCAAGAATAGACACAAACTTATCAACTTTCAATTTATCAACGGATTTGCAAAATGACCCATCATACTTAAAAGGGGCAGGGAAAAAAACCATTTGAAAATAACCTAATGGATATTACTACCATTAATGGTTTCATCCAAATGAAACACCAAAATTGGCAGTAAAATTAATATTGAGGATATGCTAAAGTTTTTAACTTTCTGCAAGTGTGGATGAAGAACACACAAAGTAGGAAGTTTATAAATTGATAAAATGAAATTTTATTATCACATCATTAGTAATTTTCTAAAATATAAATGTTTTAATAACGAAAAAGCAAAAAATAAAAGTGGAAGGAAAAAATTAAATAGAGGTCGGATATAAACCACAAGGACCAATGATGAGGTACATTTGTTGGCAAATTAGGAGTATCTACAATTTTGGTTTGTTGGCAATAGTATTATTAATTAGATAATATAAGTTGTCAATTTTGTATGTTTTCATATGCAAAATCCATTAGTAATAGTAATGTTTGTTAGGTGTAATCATTTTTTATTTTTTTTTATTTTTTATCAGTTATAATGTTTTTTGGCCCTTTAAAAAGGTATGATTGTTTATTTTAGAAGTTTTGATTCTATGTAGGCAAAACCAATTAGTTACATTAAAGGCCATTAGGTTTTGTTCGTGTTCACTCTTTCTTGCCAACAACAATGTTTTACTTTGCATTTAGAAAGTATAGTGGTCATTTAACAAAAAAAGGTCAAGCGCATTGGTTCAAATTGCTTTTAGCTTTCTTTACACTAGAAGCTAAGGTTATAATATACATCATTGTATCATCCTACACATCCTAGATAGCCCAGAAACAACTCAAGGGCAGAAAAATTTCCCTATCCACTAAATGGTATAGCCTGCTTTCAAGTAGGCTAGAAGTCTGGAAAACGATTACTTGCCCGTGTGTGGGCTCACCGTCCATGTAGCAATTTCTGTTTCTTTTATTTGATTCAGTTCAAGAATTTGAAAAGTTCCTTATGGAGTGCATTTTGCAATGCTTTTCTACTTGGCTGTACAACATGAGTTTTCAACCCCCACTGAAGCACTGGAAAGTGCTGTAAAGAACAACTACAAAAAAAAATATCCTAACGATCTGAATTGATTGCTTGCACTTTTTGCAATTATCGTTAGCATGGACTAATTATTGTTCAGAAAATTCTAAACAAACCTGCTTCCCAGTAGCTCGGGACATTCTTTCTTGCTCCTGAAGAGCCTCTTCCACTCTCTGAACTGCAGCTCTAGCCTTCTCAATTTCAGTTCGTGCAAAAGCTCTTTCTTCGTCGACAAGTTTTTTTGCATCTTCTGAAGCCTACATATAATTAGAAGTCGTTAGCAAAAATGAAAGCATTAATAAAAGAGAAGAAATAATTTCTTTAGGGTGTAGGAACAAAATGCCTATAATTATGGAATACAAATTGATAATAATGATGTCCATATACAGCATATTTAAGCAATGACCTAAAATAATAGAACTGCAACAGAATAAAATAATAGAACTGCAAATACATAATAATAATAATAATAATAATAGTCCGAGTAGATACTTTTATTATCTCTCGAACCATTATCATATCATTTGATTAGAGCACTGAATCATTTATTTCTCTTGTTTCTCTTGCTATTGAAATATCTTCAATGTTTATTTCTACACACGCCTTTTTTTGGGAGTCTACCGCCAATCTATGGCATAGGCGTTACATCTCATATGGAAATACACAGGCATGTATTAGTACACGTCTATACCAACCTGCTTCAGAAAACTTGCAAGCTTCTTAACCTCGGCCTTCTCTTGAACCAACTCTCCTTCCCTCTCAGTCAATTGAACCGCTAAAGCATCAACCTATAATGATACATATAAAGACCATAAACATCAAAAACCAACATTTCTAGCATCTTTACTCAAAGGCAAAAAGATGGATTTTGTGTGACATAGTAACAAGGGTAAAAGATGAAAAATTAGCTCAAAGCAGGAGTTATAAAGACACAAAACCTACCATAGCAATAGCCTCCTCCACGTCATCCTTGTTTTTACCCACCGCACGTCCTCTCAAGGATTCAAGTGCATCTCTAAGATTTTCTAAAAGCACATGTTTCTCTAAAGAAGCCACATCCCGGAGTTTTGTCTGTCCCTCGTAAGTGAATAAGCATTCAGGATAATGAAACAATTTAACTAAATATATTAAATTTCAAACGCCAACCTCATCGGATAATTTAGCAGCAGCAGCTAAACCCTTCTCAAATTTATTGGCAAGATCACGAACAGATAGGCGATTTCGCTGATCTAGCAACTGGGAAGTCTCATTCCGAACTACCTCTTTCATAGAAACCAACTTTGCATCTTCCTTTACCTCCGAGGTGTTATTATTAGTTCTAGTTTTGTGATTTGGAAATCGGCTGGAGGCAAATATCACATCTGCTGACACTGGGGAAACTGCATCTCTTTGCGTTGCATAGCTAAAATCACGCCCCACCCTTGTCATGCTTCTGGTTAGATATCACTCTGTGAATAAAATGCCATAAAAGCTTTTAGTTATCAATAGAAAGCCAACACTCCCTTTCAAATAAACCAAGTAGCACTACACTGGCTGCTATGGTCAACTAGTCAATTGAAAGAAAAGAACAAAGAATTTGTGATTTTCTAATCTTAAAATGGTTCCCTTAACCAAAAAGTCAAAATGGAACTCCAGTTCGTCGTGGAAACGGAATAATTACCCAATCGTAGGAGCAAACTATTTCCTGGCTTGTAGTTACATCATTAGTTAGCTTCCACCAACCTAGATTACATAATACACAATTAATTACATCAAAAAAGCAACATAATACAAGAAGGAGAAAAACAAAGATAAAAGGAAGTCTATCTCAAGCATAATGCAAACAAATCAAATCAATCGATGAACACACAAGGGGGGATTATGCAAAACAAAGAAAAACCAGGATCAATCATTAGTAACAACATGTAAATACAAATTGAACCCTAATTCGCAAGAGAAAGTGAAGTAAAATTGCACTTACAGAACATGTAAACAAAGACAAATTAACAACTAATATTGAATTCCTCAAGTAGCAATTGTTTGTTCATGTCATTGCAAGAAGACAGATTGGGAAAACGGAGAATTGATTTGGTTTGCTTTATGAAAAGCAGGAAAAAGGCGTAGAAGATGAGAAGTCCAAAGTTTCTCTCTCTCTCACACAGATACACAGAGTTGTTTTGTGATGGTCATGGTCTGTGCGCGGGGGATTTTCTATTCTAATCTTCGTCACAGTATTTAACTAGTCTTCCATTTCAAAACAAACTTTTATGATTTTTTTAAGGTATTTTTGATTGGTTTTTCATTGTTTACCTCAATTAATATGTTTGTATAAATTGAAAAGTCTTACATGATAAATGTGTTGAAAATTACTGTAAGATTAGAGGTTTTCCTCCATTCCACGTAGAAAGGAAGATAAAATTTAAAGAGTTTTATAAGACTTTATATCAATTGGGCTTTAAAATAATAGTGGGCTCATGGTGGGTCATGAGTGGAAGATCCAACACACAAGTGTATGGTCGTGGCCGAGGGCGAGGGCGAAGGCGAGGGTGTGGGCACGAATGGGGGATTCGCAGAAGTGGCGCGAGGAGCCGCACTTTGTACTCCGTATGTCGAAAAGGGATAGCCGAACTTGAGAAGAAGAGGCTAATCCGCAATGAGGAAGAAATCTTGGCTTACGGACACACAAAGAATGTCTTGTCTGATCGGTCGTTTGATCTATACTCTTTGATTACTTGCCCAAGAGAGCTTTAAAAAGCCTTGAAATTCAAGTATAAGTCACAAGAAGATGGTACAAACAAGTATCTTGTGTCTAAATACTTAAGATTCCAAATGGTCGATAATAAACCAATTCTAAAGCAAAGACATGAACTCTAAGTTTTAGTAAATAAATTAAAATCTTTTTCTATACCTCCTCCTGAAATTTTCCAAGTGGAGACAGTCATAGATAAATTGCCCCCATCTTGGAAAGATTTTTCAAAAAGAATGATGCATAAATTTGAAGATTATTCTTTTGATGATCTATTAAAACATTTACGAATCGAAAAAGAGGCACGTGATAGGAAGAAGAGAGGCAAGTCTTTGTTGAGTGCTAACAGCATGCAGGCTGGAGGCAAAGGAAAGGGAAGGGCTGGAGGTCCAAACAAAAAATGGAACTTGGATCCACGAAGGACAAGCCTCAAGAGATCGGGTCATCAATCCAATCCAGGGTATCATTTCAAGAGGGTCGGAAAGTGTCAGGTCTGCATAGAGGCGGGACATTATGCTCATAAGTGCAAGCATAGGAAGTCCGGATAACCTGCTGCAAACTCTGTGGAAGGGATTTAGAACCTTTTGGAGAATCTTCACATAGAAGAGATTGATATGAATTAAGAAGCCTCGACCAGAATTATGGCTGGTAGAGGAGGTTGGTACTTGGATTGTGGAGCCACGATTCATGTGTGTGACTCCAGATCTAAGTTTGTTGAATGGACTTAGTCTGAGAGGGTAAACAAGTGATCGTGGCTAACAATGGTCATGCTGACGTCGTTGGGATGGGCACTGTGTTACTCAAATCCATTCCTGGAAAGACCGTCACTCTCAGAAATGTTCTTTACATGCCTTCTATTAATAAGAGTCTCGTTTCTTCTAGCAAACTCGATGAAAACAAGTTTGGACTATACATTGAGGCAAGAAAGCTCATGACCTACAAAAGAAAGACATTTAGTGGAAAGGGATACTATCAGTTGGGTATGTATCGTCTAAATTTGAGTGATGATGATCATGTGGAGGTGGGACCTAGTGAATCTGTGGGTAGTAATGTGTTAGCTATGTCTGATGAAGTTTTTGATTTTTATGTTTCTATCTTTGATGTAATTCTCGAGGCTATGAATAAAATTAATTATTTGGAGTATTTTGCTTGTTCTATTTCATTATGACACAAACGTTTAGCTCATACAAATGTAAAAAAATATTGAAAAAATATGCTAAATAAAGGATTAATCAAGATCGATAACAAAGATTTTGGAAAATGTAAAACTTGTGTAAAATAATTTTTTACAAATAAACCTTTTCATTAGTAAAACGAGACACGTCAATTTTAGAGTTGATTCATTCCGATATTTGTGAATTGAATGGAATACTTACCCAATGAGGTAAAAGGTATTTCATTACATATTGTAATGACTTCAGTCGTTTTTTACATGTTTATTTATTACACTCAAAGAGATGAAACTTTTAAATTATATAAAGCTGGAGTGGAAAATCAACTCAAAAAATGAATCAAAATACTTTGATTAGACAGAGGTGGTGAATACTTTAATAGAGAGTTCGATTTCTACGAAGGGAATGGTATCAAACATGAACGCTCTCACCATTTACTCCTTAACAAAATGATTTGATGGAACGAAATAACTGAACCCTTGTTGCAATGGTCAACTATATGTTGAACCAATCGAGTCTGCCAAACAATCTGTGGGAGAAGCTCTGCTAACTGCCTGCCATATTCATAAGGGGATCACTAGTAATGTGATTCCAACCAGCTTATATGAGCTCCCAAATGAAGAAACCCAAACTTGAACTATTTTAGTGTATGGGGTTGTATTTCCTACTATCGAACCCCTAATCCAAAAAGATATAAATTGGGAGCCCTTGCTATTGACAAGAGCTTTTACACACCCTCGAACATGGTAATTAGGACCAAAAGCAAGTATATAATTAGCCTTAATATTGTCTTTCAAGTAATAAAATGATTAGTACCAAGTATCGTATTCCATAGGGATAAATATCTTAAGTTGCAAGATCTCGAGTTAAAAGACTAACTTCAGATGACGAATTTGAAGACTTTGATTGGTTGTTGAGTCAACAATTGCAAATAATAGAAAAAATAAAGGTAGCATGGGTATAAGACTAATGGCGAGAGATAAACACAAATTCCAGCAAACAATGTTGTAGGGATGCTACAACAAATAGTCAGCCATAATTAGTTCCACCATTTATTTTGAGGGTATTTTTTTCGGACTTCACCATTGCACTAATATTTAGCTTTCAACCCATATTCATATGTGGTATCAGGACCAGTAATAGTGCAAAATGGTGTCCTTAAAATATATGGATTAACAAATTCCTTTGTTTTAAAATCACTCTTCCGAGCAGATTTCCATATCATTCAAGTTAGTGTGTTCTTAGTGGCTCATTTCTGAGTCCACTACACATTAACACTTTGATAAGCTACCAACCCGTCGAGAATAATCAATTTGAAAAACATAGATGACAAATTCCTTTATAAGTAACTTTTTCATGTCTACTTCCCATATCATTCGAATTGACGTGCATTCAGTGGCTCATTCTGACTCCACGATACTTTAATACTTTCAAAGTGATCAACTCATTAAGAAGTGTTATTGGCTTTATAAAACTTGAATTAAATAATGGAACGTTGTTATTGCGAAACAACTTCCATTTTCCTTTGGTGTATAATCTCACTCTTTATCTCACACCCAAGCTAATGGAATTAGCTATTTATTATAGAAAAGTAAATTGCAAGAAATGTGCATAACACAAATTAAAGACACAAAGTAAACGACTTGAAAGTAAAGTGCGAAAAGTGAATGACTGAAAGTAAAAAGCGAAAATTAAATGACTTGAAAGTAAAGAGCCGAAAGTAAAGAACAAACTTGAAAGTAATTATGAGACTGAATATAAAAATTGCTTCGAATCTTAGAGAGAAATCAGTTTAGAACTGATTTTGGATCCTTAGAACCTAAGACCCTTCCTCCCTATTTATACACAAATAGAGGGGCCAAATATGACAAAAAATGAAACTTGGGGCCAAAGTCATTAAAAAGTCAACTAAAAGTACTTTAAAGTGACTAGACTATTACATCAATCCTAACAAGTGATTAGCAGCCCTGAATCTTTCCAAAAGGTCTTCAAATCGTGGTCTTCAAGCAACAAAATGTCTGCCCAACAGCTTAGTTTATTAAGCACTTCAAAAAGCCAAAAACTACTAGATCCATGCTGAAGGAATTGCTATAGCACCAAACAGTTTGTGCACAAGTTCAAATTAGCCATATAATAGTGTAAAACAAGCAATCATACTTTTAGCTCCATAAATAATAAAGAGGAAAATAAAGTAATGAAAATAACTTAAGATTGGGATAAAAGGAAAATAAACTAGCTAAAAATCATAAAATGAGTGTTTTATACATTGAATTCTTAATGCACATCAGCTATTAAAAACGTATTCTTTGGATATGCTAGAAATAACAAAGCTTATAGATTATTGGATAAAGAATCATGAGTTATAGTAGAATCCAGATATGTGGATTTCTTTGAAGATAAGTTTTCAAAAGATGTTGTAAGCTTGGAACCAACATTGGCCTTTAATCTTCCTTGTACATCTCGTGATAGTTCAAAAACCTCAAATAAGGTTGACGAACCACGTAGAAGTACAAGAGTAAGAAAAGAGAAAAGTATAAGAGAGATTCTTCTCATACTTGGTAGAAGGGACACAAAAGAAAGTGACGATAGAGGTCATTTTCTCTATTGATATTGAAGATGATCCTAAGACTTATAAGGAGGTTATGAATTCAACGGATGCTCCACCATGGAAGGAAGCAATAAATAATGAAATGGACTCTATCATGGGAAACATAACTTAGGAATTGGTTGATTTACCCAAGGGGGTGAAACACATAGGTTCTAAATGGATATTCAAAAGAAAGATGCACCCAGATGGTTCAATATCAACTTTTAAGGCTAGATTGGTGGCTAAAGGGTATGGACAGAAAGAAGGAGTCAATTATTTCGATAGCTATGCTTCAGTTGCTAGAATCATTTTTATTCAAACTCTTATAGAAATTTCAACCTAAAAGGGTTGTACATTCATCAAATGGATGTGAAATATGGTTATTTAAACTAGGAGGTTTATATGGAGCAACCTGAAGGATTTGTAGTACTTGGACAAGAGAAGAAAGTGTGTAGACTTGTTAAATCTCTATACGGGTTAAAACAAGTTCCCAAATAGTGGCATGGAAGATTTGGTATGACTATCACATCTTTTAGGTTTCGATGTAATAGGGTCGATAGATGCGTTTACTCAAAATGCATGAGAAGATCCACTATGGTAATCTGTCTTTATGTTCATGATATGTTGATCATTGGAACCGATCTATAAGGTATCCTTGAAACAAAAGGCTACTTATCCTCGAACTTTAAAATAAAAGA